ACCCCTTCGAACCCTTCGTTAAGGCGGGGTGGGGGTGGCGGGTGGGGGCACTGTCCTGGCCGTTGGGGAAAGGGCGCCCGGAGCCGGGCCGGGCTGCTTGGAGTCCCTGATCTCTGGGAACACCCGCCGGTGTCAGCGCCCCAGCCGCACCCGGGAGAAGAGGGAGCCGGCGCTCCAGTGTCGGGAGGAGCGGGTGGGGCGGGGGAACCAAAGGCCACACACCCTCGTTCGAGACACCTTCTGAGACCCCACGAACCTGCTGGGGTGGGGAAGGGAGAGGGCAAAACAAGACGACTGCATTCCCGGGCAGAAGTTGGCTACAACCCTCCGGTCCAAGGTTGGAAGAAAGCAGGGAGGGCTTGGAACCTACAACGTGCAATTTCGTGGATGAGGTGCGTATATCATGATCTACATTTTACAGAAAAAGAAGCTAGAACTCAGGGGAAACGGCCAACGCTTTGCGTTCTGAAGCTCTGACTTCCCACTCCTCAGCTTTAGAGCTTTGAAGGACGTGTTTACTACCTTCATGGCTTCTCACGTGAGATAAGGACGTTCCCCTCCTCACTGAATGCAGGGAAGGTGGCTTGCCTGAAAGGACCTGGCACCCCCTTAGCCATGCTTAGCCTCCTTTTCTCTGTTCCTAAGTGAATTGCCTAAGGTCACATTGCTGGGAGGCAGCACGGCTGAGCCTGGGCCCCCGCAGCCCTGACTCCTGCTACACCACAGCTGCCTCTGTGTCCTGGGCCAGGGCTGCATTCGCCTAAAGCAGCTGAGGAGCCCTGGAGCTGGTGTGGCCATGACGTGCAACTCCCAGACACAGCTGTCAGCACCCAACTTTCCTAAATTACTCCTAGACACTTACCCTGGGACTCAGCTGCTGCTTTGTCCCAGTTTACTGATTCTTACCCACCACAAAGCAATTTTTTTTTTTGAGTCAGGGTCTCACTCAGAATACAGTGGCACGACCACGGCTCACTGCAGCCTCATCCTCCTGAGTAGTTGGGACTACAGGTGCAGGCCACCATGCCCGACTAGTTTCTTGATTTTTTTGTAGAGATGAGGTCTCACTGTGTTTGCCTATGCCGGTCTCGAGCTCCTGGGCTCAAGCAGTCCTCTCCCCTTGGCCTCCCCAAGTGCTGGGATTACAGGCGTGAGCTACCATGCCTGGATGACCACCACAAAGTATCTTTTATGATGTCTCTTAAAATCTTCATCTCAGGATCTCAGGCTCTTAGATCCTGGGCACTGTTGTCCTCCTCTATGGTCAAGAGGCTGCTTTTGCAAGACATCCAGTGGAAGAGGGGAGATGGCCCACTTGATATGAACCCCAAAAGTCCTCCTGGCAAAGATAATTCCCTCAATGGTACAGAAAACAGCCAGGCAGTCTCAGAGCTACTTCAGGCTGGGGACCAAATCTATCCCTTTCCTCCCACCCAGGGCTGCCCTTTTCAAGAAGGAAGCATGGTCAAGTGGTGATAAGATGGGAGAGGGAGCCAGGAGGGGAAGAAAGCAAAACAAGCCATTTCCACTGGACTGGGGCCAGAGGCACACGAGTCCACTGTGGGGTAGGACCAGGGTGGGGTCATGTTAAAAGGGGACAAAAGCAAACATTGGGTTTCACATAAGACAGAATGGTATAATGGATTTTAAAAACCAAACATTGGTTAGGACTCTAAAGGCAAATTCTATCTCTCTCTCTTTTTTTTTTTAATAGAAACGGGGTCTTGCTATGTTGCACGCCTGTGCTCCAGTGATCCCCCACTCCCCTCAGCCTGCTGAGTAGCTGGGACTCTAGATGTGGCATGCCCAGCTTGCCTGTGTCTTGCTGTTATGACTTTGTCTTGCTTGTTTTAACCTTGGGCAGGTTATTTCACAACTCTGGAACTCAACATTTTCACATGTAAAATGGCCTTAGAATGAAAAAGGAAAACACAGGTAACTTGGTAGGCTTGGTAGGAAGTGTTATTTTTGGCCTAGAATTGGAGTTACGTTTGCACCATGATGTTGAGCCCTCCAGAGGAGAACTCATTATAGTCATTCCTAAACTTGAGTTTTCCAACCCTCCAGTTGGAGAATTGGGGAATTTTCTCTCTTGATTTTCCACCTCCCACTTTGTCATACCAGTTGGCTGTTGTTTGGATGTTTTTCTTGACCACTGAAGGCATCCTAATAACTGGGTGTTTGCTCTGGAAGTCTTTGGAGCTGACCAGGGACTGGAGACCTTATCTTTCTCTTCCAAGTAGCCATAGGAGACAGTTTCCTGATCTGCAGCATTGAGAAAAGGCTTCATTGAGAACACAGGGAGGATCCCTCAAGGGAAGCTCCCTGGTTTCTATCCCAGAGGGCTTGTACTTTCCCCTTCTAAGCCCAATTCTGCTTTTGCTATACAAAATAGACTTTTTAATTACAAATAATGCACGGGTATATACTAGTTGCAAAACATTTAACACAGAAAACTTTTTACCCCCCCTCCTGTCTCCACATATTTTGGATTTCTTTTTTTGAGTTGGAGTCTCATTCTGTCACCCAGGCTGGAGTGCAGTGGCACACTCAGAGTCACCACAACCTCAACCTGTTGGGCTCAGGCAATCCTTCTGCCTCAGCCTTCCAAGTAGCTGGAACTACAGGTGCAAGCCATAATGCCCGGCTAATTTTTTTTTTTTTGAGTCAGAGTCTCACTATTTTGATCAGGCTGGAATGCAGTGACATGCTCATGGTCACTGCAGCCTTCACCTGCTGGGTTCAGGTGATCCTTCTGCTTCAGCCTTCCAAGTAGCTAGAACTACAGGCATGTGCCACTATGCCTGGCTAATTTTTTTATTTATGTAGAGATGAGATCTCACCAAGTTGCCCAGCCTTGTCTCGAATCCCTGGGCTCAGGCAATCCTCTCGCCTCAGCCTCCCAAAATGCTGGGATTAAAGGCATAAACCACTGCACCCGGCTTTAAGTTTTTGATTTATTGTAGAGATGAGGTCTGGCCAAGTTGCCCAAGCTGGTCTCAAACCCCTGGGCTCAGGCAGTCCTCTCGCCTCCACCTCCCAAAGTGTTGAGATTACAGGTATGAGCCAACACGCCTGGCCAGGATAGTTTTTTAAAAGCATAAATATTCATTGACTTTTAAAACATGCAATAATATGTCTTTCCATTATACTACATATAGATATGACTTTTTCCTTCCAACTGTGTTGCCTTCAGCCTTTTCCTCTTACACCCAGTGGAGTCTAAGCTTTAAGGTCCTTACACATTCCTGTATTCCTCTGCCCCCGCATCCCGTCCCCAACCCCCAGTGCTTGGAAAGAGAGGGATCTGGTTCTGGTTCAGGTGGACATTGTCCTGAGATTTCTGGCCCCAGCGTAGATTGAGTCCTTCTGAGCAGAGATCCTACTGCCATGTAGATTTCCCTTCATGTTACAGGGAAAGAGATGACTTGACCTTTAGAAATAGCCTCCCTCCCTCCCTCCCTCCCTTTCTTCCTTCTTTTTTTCTTTCCTTCACATCAGGGTCTCACTTCGTCCCCCAGACAGGTGTGCAATGGTGCGCTCATAGCCCACTGCAGCCTGAACTCCTGGGCTCAAGTTATCCTCCCACCTCAGCCTCCTGAGTAGCTGGGACTACAGGCATGGTGAGCCACTGCACCTGGCTAGGTGTGCCTTTTTTTCTAATCTTCAACCTCCCTCCTACACACACACCAATTCAAGGCAACACGGGAGGGAGTAAGAAGCACTAGGGCCCCCTACAACATGAAATTATAAGTGGAGCATTGTGCACTTAGCATCTCTATGGTATAGAAATGTTCTCCACATGTCTGCAAAATAAAGAGCAGAGCACAAGAGAAGATGTGATGGAGAGTCAGGGTCAGGGAAGCCACAAGTCCTCGCTGGGAGGGGCTGAGACTTCCTTACTAGAGAGGGGGAGACTCTTCAGAGGGAAGGGAGGCAGCAGGGAGACCTGGAGGAGCTGGCTAAGGGAGGGAAGGCCTAGGATTAGAGACACTACTCTCTCACAACCATCTCTCCCAGCCTCCTCATCTCCAGAATAATGGCCACCTGGTGTGAGGAGCCCCACCACCTCCCCACAGAGGGGAGAAGGTTTATTGGTGAGAACTGGCTCCCAACCTGGTAAAAAACAGAGAAAATGATCAAGTCATATTACTCTTTAGCTGCTGGGTACTTACTAGTACCTGCCATTTATTGAACACTTTCTATGTGCTGTAGAGTATGTCTTCTGACATATGTGCTGAAAACTTTGCATGCATGTCTTAAAGCCTTACCACCATAACATGAGAATTACTTTCTCCATGGGTGAAATGGGGACACAGAAGTAGAAAGCTTAAGGTCCCAGTGCTAGTAATTGGCATAGCCAGGAAATGAACACAGGATAGCTTGATGCTAACTAAGGTTCATGTCTTAACCATTATGATTCAGCACCCCTTCTCACTCCAGATCAGAATACTGATTCCTTACAAGGTCTTGAAAGGAGGAGAGAAGGATAGAGAGTCTCTTCCAGGACCAATTGCCTCTTCCAGAAATAGGAAGATCCCCAGACTATGTGCACACAACCTTCTCCCTGCTCCCTCTGTGACCCAGGCTGGACCATGACATCACATGGCAGAGGCTGTTTTCTAAAAAGAACCCAGGCCAGATTTACAAGAACGACACTCAGGCAGTGTGACTGAAGAGGACTGAGGCCAAGTGACCACAGCACACGCCCAGCAGTGCTGAGAACACTGCTGGTCCCTTAGCACCTGGGGCTGACTCATGGTTGCTGTAGGAACCAATGCCAGATGCCAGGATTGCTTTTTCCCTCCCCCCATTCCTCAGGGCTGTCCTATGAAGCCAGCTCTTAGGAACCTGGATTTTGGGTAACTTGGGGGTACTCATGCTTATTTACCAAGCCCTGAGGATGACAGGTGATGTGCTTAATGCTTCATACAAATTGTTTCATTTATTTATTTATTTTAATTTTTTTGAGTCAGAGTCTCACTCTGTAGCCCAGGCTGGAGTGCAGTGGCATGCTGCTCATGGCCACCACAGCCCCGACCTGCTAGGCTCAAGTGATCCTTCCACTTCAGTCTTCCAAGTAGCTGGAACTACAGGCACGTACCACCATGCCCAGCTAATTTTTTAATTTTTATTATAGAGATGAGGTCTCACCAAGTTGCCTAGGCTGGGCTCAAACCCATGAGCTCTGGCAATCCTCTCATCTTGGCCTCCCAAAGTGCTAGGATTATAGGTGTGAGCCACTGCGCCTGGCCTAATTGTTTCATCTAAAACTCAACTCCAAGACTAAGCATGGTAGCTCCTGCCTGCATCTCAGCGTTTTGGGAGGCCAAAGCGGAAAAATTATTTGAGCCCAGGAGTTTGAGACCAGCCTGGGCAACAGCGAGACCTCGTCTTTACAAAAAATCAAAAAATTAGCTGGACATGGTGGCATGCACCTGTAGTCCCAGCTACTCAGGAGGCTGAGGTGGGAAGTATTGCTTGAACCCAGGAAGTCGAGGATGCGGTGAGCAGGAATCACGCCACTGCATACCAGCCTGTCTCCAAATAAATAGGCCGGGCTCAGTGGCTCAACCTGTAATCCCAGCACTTTGGGAGGCCAAGGTGATTGGATTGCCTGAGCCTGGGGGTTTGAGACCAGCCTGGGCAACTTGATGAGACCTTGTCTCTACAATAAATCACAACAACTAGTCAAGCGTAGTGATGTGCATCTGTAGTTCCAGCTACTTGGAAGGCTGAGGCTGAAAGATTGTATGAGCCTAGCAGGTTGAGGTCACGGTGGCTGTGAGGGTGCCACTGCACTCCAGCCTGGGTGACAAAGTAAGATTCCAACTCAAAAAAAAAAAAAAAAAAGTCAGGTAGACTTGGGTTCGAATCCCAACTCTGTTGCTCATTTGGCTATGTATGACTTTGTGCAAGTACTTACCTCCTCTGAGCATATTTGCTTATCTGAACAATGAGATCACTAGCGTGTATCTTGCTGAGCAGTGGAAGGAATATATGTAAAGCATCTGGCCCCCTGCCTGGCACTAGAAAGCAAACGAGAAATGGAAGTTCCTATCATAATGTGTAACACATATAGTTATGACAACTATATTTCCAAGATATTCTGGGATCTTTACAGTTTCATAATTTTGCTCTTTTTATTACACAACACTCCTTTTATTGAAAAGAATAAGACTTTGGAGTCAGACAGACCTAGCTTGGGTTTGAATTCTGGCTCTCCTCACCAGCATTTGACCACGGACAATAGTGTCAATTTCTCTAAGCCTGTGTCCTTCTCTGTACATTGAGGATAATGATATCTGCCTCCCAAGGCATTTTGCAAGGATTACATGGGCTTCCTACCCAGTGCAAGGTCTAGTGATAATGTGAAGGCTAAAACCACAGTTTGTTAAATGTATAAATAAATGCGATTAATTTTTGTTCCCATACATACGGTATCATGGATGTGATCTGTGGCTGTGTGCATTGTGAGGAGAGTGGCCATTTCTCTTGCCCCAAAAGGGGCTCTAGCCTTGTGTTTCATCCTAGCCACAGAGGCATTCACAGGGCTGTAGCATCAGTGGCGTGGGACCCTGCTGATAGGGAAGGGAGAAGGGGAAGTCACAGAACCAAGGGAAATGCCTCTTTCCTGTCTGGCTGGGATTTGTTTGTCTTCCACACAGGCTGTTCGTTCCCTGCTGATATGGGGGTCTGCCAAGTGTCCAGCTTTGATTGGCATCTTCAGTACAGAGGAAATAAAGGCCCCCTTAACTTTAGGAGCTGTTTTCCTCTGGACTTGCAGAGTCGAGTCCCAAGCACGTTCTCTTTCTGGCACTGCTGGTGAGAGCAGACAGCCATGGAAGGGATCCAGAATCATGATGTCAGAGCTAGAAGACTTCATAGAAGGGAAGAGGTGTGGTGGAATGGTCAGAGCATTGGTTGGGGGGTCAGAATGACTGAACTCAAATCCTGGCCATATCCCTTGCCTGCTGGATGAACTGGAGCAAGCTCTAGAATCTCTTTATTTAAAAAAAAAATAATTTTTTTAATAGAGACGAGGTCTTGCTATGTTGCCCAGGATAGTCTTGAACTCCTGGGCTCAAGCAATCCTCCTGCCTCAGCCTCCCAAAGTGCTGGGATTACAGGCGTGAGCCACTGTGCCCAGCCTAGAATCTCTCTA